TTTCAGTTGGATTTAAGAAAGCCGCTTCCCTTGCGCATCTGTTAGAGATAAACATTTTCTTGTCCTAAAATATTGGTAGAGTAGTAGTTCATTTTTGGTTCACATTTTTATTTGTTTGCTTTTATCAGTAGCGCGACCACAACAAAATTGCTGAAACTCTCTAGAACGTTTCTACGAAGTTTCGATCTCCTACTGTTTTGAACAATGAAAAACTCGGTCATCCCTACGGATCTACCCAAGTTTGACTACAGGATTGCTCCGAACGAAAAATCAATCAGTAACTATCTAGACATCAGATATATGTCATTTGATAGGAATAAGTCTAGGAAAGGCAAGCTGCAGGAAAAAAATCACCTCACTACTGTAAACTGTTTCCATCCGAGTTTTACAGCCCAGCATTTGCTGAAGACTAACTTGTCACGCCCACTTATCAAATCCGAAGTAGTTGGATGTACTGGTTTTGTGTTCAACCCTCAAGTGGTTGGCACCTTGTTTTGACCCTGTTTTGCCGATCTACCGAGGTGGCGGCAGTTCAGTACGGGTTTTCAAGAGTGTCACCTATGACAATGAGTAAATAATGCGCCGTTAAACATCACATGATCAACATGAACATCAAGGAGTTGTCATCATCGAGCAGGGTGATCGAAGCTGTTTGGTCGTGGTGATTGGTAAACAGTGTAGAAAGCGTTTCTTGCAGAATTCATGAAGAGAGGGAGATTTTTGAGGGATAATGAATGAACGTCCAGGCCATTGGCGGGAGCTCGATTCCATCATGGTATGCAACACGCATTTTGTTCTCTTCCAGTATTCAGTAGAGTATTTAAAAGCGTTCTTCCCTACAGGTATCTAAAGAAGCGGGAGTGGGGAGAGTATGGAGGCAGCCCCAAAGAATGCTGGTGTCCACCAATCAGGCCCAAAGTGATGAGTGACAAGAATACCCTAACCGTAATTCATTCCGCGATTTGATCCCCGTACCAGGCACTGAAAACATCTTTTTTTACCCACTCTATAGGGTTCCCTTAGAAAACCACCTATTGTTTACTTTTTTGTGTATTAAATAGCCTGACAATCATTAATAAATTTGCTGTGAAAAAAAGTTAAAGGTTTGTGTCGAGGCATTCTGTAGCATTTCTGATTTTCATTGTAAATTGCGCTCCTGATTCACCCTAAGTGTGAATAAGCAATAAGTATATAGTATATGTTTAGTAAATAAAAGAATAGTTTATCCCATAACTATTGCAGGCGTGCTGTCATCGAACCACGTACAGATGTTTGGCCAGAACCAAAACCTGCATTGGAATTTGATGAGAAATTTTTAAAGCTGCCATCATCTGATGAGTATAAACGGTGAGTCCATCTNCTAAAGATTCTCAGTAAATGAAGTATTCAAGCCTGCTGAAGTCCTTAAGAATGCGCCGTGCGCTTTTCTTTTATGCATATTAGCAGCAATCTCCATACTATAATAATCGATTAACTGGTTCACTAAACTTATTTGAGACTATCGAAGCAAAGGTTCGTCGGCTGACCTTCAGATTTCACAAGGCAGGCCCGATATACATTCATTTGCATTTGTGATTTTTGCTGGCATTCTAATAGTTAAGGGCGTTTTTCAAAAAAAAAAAAACGCGGTCAACTCTGATCGTCTTGTTCTCTGAATAATATCTTTGTAAATGTTTAGTAATTTGGTTTGAATATTTCTGGACCCCTTTCAATTGCCCTTGCTATTCAAGTAATGCAGCATGGCATTCAGATAGGTTGATCAGAACTGTAGAAAATTGTAGAGTACTTCTGTAAAAGTTCTAAGTCAAGGCTGATTTGATAGCTTTACGAGTGTACCGTTAGTGCTCGAACATCACTGTAAGTGTCATTAGTGCCATCTTAAAATAACCCCAGAATGATTTTTATCCTAGCAAATGATAAACAAAATATGCACGTGCTGTGAACAGCTGACGTTCTTCATCATTTCACGTCTACTATGTACGTCGTAATTTTTTGCAAAAAATTGTAGGAAATGCGTTGAGAATGATTGAGGGTCGCTTTTTACGTAATGGAGAGGGGTTACGGTAGCCCTCGGATTGTGCATAGAAGAACTAATACATATTCACACCTAAAACGCACCGAAAATTTCGTTGCTCCACTCTCTGTATGTTTCATTAGACGACCGTAGTTCTAATGAAAATTTTGATTTAGGGTGCGCCAGTTCAGGATCGATGAGAAAGGAGCTGTAGTGTCCCGTGGAGACTCATTCAGAAGAAAGCGAAATGAAGAAAGTGCTAAAAGTAAGTCGTTTGTGGAATTACAGTATGCCGGCTACAGTAACCCACAGTAACTTTAGGTGACAAATCTCCTTCACCGTATCCTATATCGGGATCAGATTCAGCTAGAGATTCTCGAAGTGAGAGCGTGTCGTCAAGTGAAGATTCACGACGAGAAATCGCTGCCGCTGCTAACGCCAACGCTGGCGTGACAATTCCGTCTACCAGTCACAAGACTTATAAGGTAATCATGAAAGGCTTCGGTGCCGGGCCGGATCATTAAGACACTGGGTGTGCTCGGCAGGTGGTAGAAGAGTGTGAAACCCCTGTGTTCTTCTGTTAATGCAGTCCCACTTGAGAAAGAGGGACCTTACATCGGGACTGCATCATAATCAATCAGTCCCAAGTGCTCCCTTCTCTCAGCTCCTCTCCCCACTTGGTTGGGAAGTCGAAGAACTTCCAGAACCTAGCAGAACTATAAGGAAGCCTCCATTAAGGAACGAGACTTACTATGATCCTGCATAATCTAGTCTTGGATGAGATCTTGTAATACTTCCTTCTCATAAGAAGGTCCTCAGTGGAAGCTCTCATTTCTGCCCCAAACCTAACTAATGAGTTGTGGCTATTTTCCTTTGTAGTTGTATTTAAGCTTTTTGATCTTTGAAGTGTTCAATGAACCGTCCTTGGCAGGTAGTTACAAATTTTGAGATTTGTTTTGACGCAACCCAAAAATTTTGCAGCTAGCTGCAATGGAGCTGCATTTGTAAAGGGCAATGTGTCTTGGATGATGACAAGCCCATCACTCATGGATGTGTAATATCTTCCGGTGAAATTGGATAGGAACATGGCCAACCTTAGGGGATCAGCGGAGTTCTTGATCTAGAGCTTCCCCATTTGGTAGTCCGGCGTCNCGTCATCGACACACCCGCCCATTGAATCATCGCGAACGGTGCCTTTAAGCTTTGTATAGAGTTCCTCCATGCCATTCAGCACCTCCCATCCTCCATTTTGCACGAGCAGGGTTTCTCGGTTCCAGAAGCCCCAACGCTCTTTATTTTTAGGTTCTGCCCTAAACCCAGATGAGGTCAGAAGATGTTCCCATCGTCATTTTCATTCACTCAACGGCTGATGAGTAGTGATAACAAGTGATAACGACTGATTATGGATAATATTATGTTTGTGAAAGTGTGAAAGTGCCTTTTGCATCCATCATCCTTGAAATGCTTCTGTTTCTTTTGATTGATGGTAGCGGGAGGTTGGAAGCTGGACGACCTAGAGATAGCACGAATTGTGACTGACATGCTTGAGGTCCTGTCCAAGGGCTGTGTATGTGATGGTGAGCACCCTCTACTGCTGGGCTTACACTTCTGATCCATAATCAGATGCCCCGAAGAAGCCCCGGGTTGCGTTGCCGTTGGTACCTGTGTAGACCACCCGAGTCTTACCTCAAAGAAACAGCTTTTGTTGAATATTTCGAAAGATTAACTCGAAAACAATTGATCACTTTTTATTTGTGCATTCAAGGATTGAAGAATCAAAACAATCAGATGTCGTTTCAGATAAGTGTGGTAGGCGATACGGGCACCGGTAAATCATCGTTGATCGGCCAGCTAATCACTTCAGAATACAAGAATGCTTTTGCTGATGAAATCCGTAAGTTAAACGCATTCCTTTGAGTTTTTGCAAATTCCACGCAGGATAATCGCTACACTTTCAGAGGACTACGAGAACACAGTTTCCATTTGTATTGGCGGTCAGGAATTGGATTTGATATTCTTCGAGAGCGATATGGTAAGTTCAGCAGTAAAGTTTTTACCCCAGCAGTTACTAAGTATTCGATGAAGGGTACTGCATGATCACTCACAGTGACGTTTTGATTGAAGTGGTCTTGGCGATCATGCTGTGGCTTACTTATACCGGTTATCCAGTGAAAAAAAATGAATAAAAATGATTATTTGAATAAATAAAAGTAAAACGGTTATTTAAAAAACAACGAATACTTGACACTTCTAGAAATTTTTCATCTTTTTCCCTTCCTCTTGTACAAAGTAATTGGTGATTTGAAATTTCGCCCTTTTTCAGTCAGATTCTACCTGGATGTCGAACGAAATGGATGCATTCGTTATTATTTATAGTATAGATTCAAGAAGAAGTTGGAAACAAGCCACAATGGCTATCGAGGTAATTCGATTTTTTGTTAAAGCTAGAAACTTAAAGAATTGGAGAGACTCATTGAGTGAATGCAAGAAATAAATGTTTACATACAAAGTAATATTACAACTTGTTTTCAAAAATTGCTTGGCTACTTAGTTTATTTTCGCAATTCCAGATGATTAGAGAATCGTCTAATTGCAAGAATTCACCGATACTTGTCGCTGGTAACAAAGCCGATTTGGAACGAAAGCGGACGGTGACAAAAAGCGGTAAGTACTTTGAGCTACTAGTGAATCTATTAAAGAATTGTTTGCTAAAGCCACTCTTATGTCTGCGCTTGTTTCTATGAGAATCTGGAAGGAATTGTCAAGCCATGTGTACATCGTCAGTGACATACACCACCAATCGATTCCTGCTATATTTGGATAGTATTGAAGTGTGGCGGTTATGTTCCCGTCATCAAGTCATTGAATACTTTTTTGGCGTTAACAAGTCCCGTTTGAGGATGCGCCCCACATTCGAGTCTCATTCAAAATCGCAGTGGCTTATTGAATACATATGTGGCTTGCGCGATAACTTGCGGTGACCAGCCGGTAAATAAGTCAGAGCTTCAGCCGTCCTAGACGGGTGTGGCACCATTTAAGCGGCCCTGAAGGTATGAAAGGCTTGATTGGCCCGCGCGGGTATGATTCCATGATTCGAACCCGTGACCCTAAGTGTGTGATAGTGTGCCACTTGCCACTATACCACATCCACTCAGTATACATCATATGACTATTACTGGTCTGATATAAGAGCTGAATATCAGTTACATCAGACAATTCGAGATATGCAGATGGAACCATAAGAGGTAGGCGGGGATATGTACCTGAAGAGGAAAATCCAGACAGCACCGCGGTGTTCCTTGTAAAGTTTCGAAGGCCAATGAGTTTTTCCATAAAAAAAGTTTGGGACCATGTTGGTTTCAGCCCTTATGTGTCAGGAGTAGCACCGTTTGCTCAAGTATCACATATTATTTTCAGAGGTTCGAGCAGCAGCCGCGCATTTTGGTTTTGAGAATCTCGAGATTTCCGTCGCTTTAGACCATGATGTTGATGATCTTCTTGTTAGTCTTGTGGCTGAATTGAAAGAAGCCTACACATCCGACACTTCTATCAAAAAGGTAGGTTTTTCAAATAATCACTTCGTGCAGTTTAGTCGTTTATCCCTAGTAAATTGGTTATTTCAGCCATCGCCACGCATTGAGGACGACTTCCACGCGGCTATTCGTCGATACTCACAAAGGAAGAAGAAAGCGTTGCCTGAAGACGTCGATGCAGGTAGTGTAATTTTGAAAAATATGTCGAAAAGTAAAAAAAAAAATGTATGGAGTAAGGGATGTTGTATCACCGGCCAAAATACGTACCCTTGCAGCCGAGCGTTTCAGCGACGTTCGTTCCATACTTAGGTACTTGCTATGGCGTCATTCAGACGCGCTGCGTGTGCGTTCCGGCGGGTGGTACGTGCATCAGATCTCCAAAATGCAGAAGTAGGGCACGGTAGTGTTGAGTTGGACCGGACTGATATGGAAGATAACTCTCACCTGGGAGCCGTTGCCTTACTGCTCAGCGGAATTGAGCTTTCTCAATACTGCCTTCAATTGTAACTGCTTTGCAGAAGGTTACAACATATCCCAGAAAAACATCTGGGAAGAATTTGGCTTTAGCCACTCCCTTGCTGGAGACGCCACGCAGTTTACTTGCAGTAGGGACCGTATTATAGAATATTTCAAGTGCATTACTTACTCTATGACGATCTGGTGGTGAGCACTGGGAACATACAATAGTACTCAAAAGGCCTTCACACCTGGGAATTTCTGCCGCTTTACCTTGATGGGGAAATTCGTCAATTTGTTGTCATTATCAGCATAATAAGTAGTTTTCAATGCTACTGTAGGCGTTTGACAAAGTGGGGCATCAGCGCGCGCGTGACCGCCCGCATGCTCGCCATGAATTACGACTAGTATGGCTGATTTACTTGCTCTTGATTTTCGCATTCGTTGATAAACTATTTTACTTTTTCAGGAAAGTGCTCCGTTCTCTCGCCAACCTGCCTCTTCAACAAATTCAAGAATTGGAAAAAAGGAGCCACAACACCACGACTACAAACATGATATAAATTTCTGTTTTATGATGTTTCGCATATACTGGTAGCCCATCTTATTTTCCAGTGGTCCAATAACCTACTGGGGAACGGGACAGAAATATTTTTGTAAAAAAACTGGCGAATCCAGACATGTAACGGCCACGAGCTGTTTGGGTTTCCACAGTGACGTTCGTCGGCTTGCCAGCGTTTTGACTCGGCTCCTGGTTTTATTGATCGAAGAGGCGAGACCGCGCACTGCACCGTCGACGTCATCGGCCACGTCGCGCACGCCCCCAAAATGGGTTTTATTCCCCGCCCCTTTCCGCCATCATGCTCTATGCCTTTAGTATCTATGGAGACGATTTAGCTTTCCATTTTCTGTAATATAAAAAAATGCTTCCGACGAGAAATAGCTAAGTCTTTGTCTCAATCACTGTACGCATAATAATTTTCAAAATTTTCACGAAATTGCTGTCATCGTTGTACCAAATGTCTACTGTCTTTTATCGATTGCCAAATTGAAATCTGTGCCATGTATCGATTTACATATGTTCACTGAATTTTTCCTCTGTTTCTCATTACTGATCGATCGATATTTTCTTTGTTTTTTCAAGTGCTCCACAGAGCATCCTTCTGTATGATAAAGATTATCGGTTTAAATTGTTCGTGGTAGTTGAACGGGGTTCCTTCGACGTTCCCACGTCATTACTTCTTTAATCCTCCTATGGATTAGAAATCCTTCTGGAGATTTTTATTACATTGTGGAGGCTCCGGGATCCCGTGTGTTCATTTGTGG